AAAGTGATAAATCCAAGTAAAGTGATAAATCCAAGTAAAGTGATAATCCAAGTAAAGTGATAATCCAAGTAAAGTGATACGTGGCAAAAATAGTGCATAAATGTCAATTACGGGGGGCGGCTCTGAAACACTTGAGGTAGGCGTTATAGAGATTGCTTTTTATGTTAAATAGTTAATTTAAATTCCCAATTCCCCAACAAATTTCTTAGTTTGTCTGCATTATGTTTGATCTTCATCTAATGAGATGTTCATAGCTTACATTCAGCTTTTACGTTAATATGATCAAATAAAATGTGCTTTAATCTTTAGTTGGCTGATGTAAACTCCCTGCCTGGTGTGAGAGATTTGGTGAGGTTACATCCAAATGAAGGAGATCACCATCTGGCCCTCATTCACTGGATTCTCTCCTCAAAGAGCTTGGCTGTGAAGACTCTACCAAAGGATGAGGTGCAGACCGATATTTACACATGCATTAGCAACAATAACGGCCGATTAGCACTTTAAATTAACGGTGTGTGTGTTTGTTTGGTTTTCTCTAGTACGCCAAACTCTGTAAGCTGACAGAAAATGAAGGGATTTCTGCACCTGTTCCCGACTTCCTGTTTGAGCTGGAGTACTCTGATCACTTGAACTCCAGGTTTGAGAAGACGAGGGAAGGAAGAGATGTCTTCTACGCATTCCACGGGAGCCGCCTGGAGAACTTTCATTCAATCATTCACAACGGGCTCCACTGCCACCTCAACAAGGTCTCTGCCATAAAAAAATAAATCCTATGTTTCTTATGAAGTCGTTTTGACTTGGGGGGGCCGTCACACCCTGCCGATTTAGCCAGCGTATGCCGGGCACTTTGCAGGCTGCACAGTGGAGCAGTGTGTAGCACTGCTGCCTTGCAGTAAGAAGGTTCTGGGTTTGATCCCCGGCCCGGGGTTTTTCTGCATGTTCTCCCTGAGGATGCGTGGGTTCTCTCCGGGTAATCCGGCTTCCTCCCATATTTAAAAAAAAAAACTGTTCATTAATTGGCTTCTCTAAATTCTCCTCAGGTGTGAGTGTGTGTGAACGGTTGTCTGTCCTGTTTGTCTCTGTGTTTCCCTGCGATGGACTGGAGACTATGTGAACTAGTGAACTAGCCTGATTAGGCACACTCGTTTTTATTCCATTTCAAGCCTTTGTGTATTTTTGCCTTACCGTGCGGGGGGAAGCATACCATTGGGTTCGGTCGCTCCGTCCCCAGCTGGTTCCAGACCGGGACCAGCCCCGCAGATGAGGGTTCGGTTCGATTTGCCTGGTCAGGTCCAGTCAGCGGCCCAGCAGAAACCCCAGATCTGGTCACCCTGACGTATGTCAACGATCAGTACGGCATACGCTGACATACGTCGTACTGGCCGTATGTCGATGTGTGCAATTATTTTTCAGCGTACTTCAGTGTACCCATAACTTATCCAACGTAGGCCAGCGTTTTTGCCAGATTTTCCGTAGGCCAGGCATACGCTGGTCTAAATCGTCATGGTGTGACAGGAGCTTTAGGCAGAAAAATTTAGAAGAATCCACCTTCTTTCTGATGTGTAAACATATTTCTGTTCAATTCAGGGTTCCCGCGGGTCCTTAAAAAGTCTTAACAGGCATTGAATTCTTCAAAATAAAACTAAGGCCTTATTTGGTATTAAAATGTCTTGAATCAGTCTTTTTTAGGTCTTAATTTTTAAAACATCATAAATAGGATTATTTTTATTATAATTTATTTTTGTAATC